TAGTATCAACAAAATGTTCGTGGCTCTCAGGTGATTAGCTTTACCAAGCTCACATGGTGAAAAAGAAACTCGCGTTTCAATACAACCGCCACAACAATTATTGCGTCTTGCACTTACGTTATTTTTAAAAAATTGGTTACATTTTCGACACATTTTACACGAAATTAATATATATTGCTGAAAATAAAAACGATTACTGCTTTCATATCCTCGTATACAAATTGGTCGCCTTTTTAAGCCTAAAAAAAAAAATACATATAAAAATATACGAAAGCTGTACTTTCCCTCGCTTCGCTGTTAAATAGTTTGTTTTTCTTAACACAGAATGAAAGGTTAACGTCAAATCCAAAATAGTATAGTATCGTATACAAACTGGTCGTCTTTTTAAGCCTAAAAATTAAAAAAAAAATACATATAAAAATATATGAAAGCTGTACCTTCCCTCGCTTCGCTGTTAAATAGTTTGTTTTTCTTAACACAGGATGAAAGGTTAACGTCAAATCTAAAATAGTATAGGCTCTTAAGGGGCTGCAAGATTTATCGCTCCATCATTTTCTCTGCGAAAACTCGACTGATTACACGGCAAGATCGTCAACATTCACGTAGAGTCGATCGTCGTAATAGTTTAAGTCTATCAGTCCCTGTAAAAGAAAAATAAGTTTTTTTTAAGTTTGCGCAGGCCAGATTTAACCTAAAACGATCAAAGGTGGGTAAGTGTCTTCGTAAACTCCACAGATCTACCTTGCGCTGCCTTTCCATTTCTTTGAGTATGTTTCTCAAACTCTCAAAAGATGGTCTCAAGTCGGGGTCGCCTTTCCAACAGTATGTCATACCTGGAACAGAAAGACGTCAAGCATATCTCAGTATGTTATTATTGGACTAAGTTAGGGCGTTGTTGGGCATAAAACGTTGCTATATACATTAGGAATGTTTGCACTTACCGGTTTCATTTGAGCTACGCTCGAGACTTCAACAAAAAAGATCTTATAAAACAATGTTACTGCTGCAAGAGAAAAGGCAACGTAAGGAAAGAGAAAAAGACCATTTTTTTCTCGTACAACTTCTCATTCACATGTTGTGGCTTAGGCATTCTGTATCCCTCTTCAAGCAACTTTGCAATATTTCTTCCATCCATCCTTTGATACGGTAAAACACCTAAAATAAAGCAGGTACTCGCAATATACTCTTCCAAGAATGGTCCAACGCTGTAAAAATATGTTTTATACGATTTCTGGTCACTTTGATGATGGTCATTTCATTCCAAGTCAGTTCGTTCCATCTAAAGGTCACTTCGTTTCACAAAATAGTCAGTTCGTTCCAGGAAATGGTAACTTCGTTCCACGAAAGAGTCACTTCGTTCCATAATATTTTCACTACTATATTTTACTTTTTAGTTGCTCTTCTTAAAGCATCATGTAGATTCTAACCAAGGTCTGCCATTTAATTCGTACAATGGATATGCAGGCCACTTTGAATTTTTGTGGAACCCCCTTTACCGTGTTCTGCGAGCTAGGATAACTGTTGGTCATTGCTTTTATTTATTTAGTGGCTCCTAAACAAGCTGTTTCTTTGACTACGTGTTCATTAACATTTACTTTCTGTGCGCCCTTTAAGATGGGAAGAGGCTTTCACGAGACGTTTCACTGATCTTTCATTGTCGTCAAACTCGTGCCATAGCTTAAATATCTTGGCCTGAGGATCGCGGTACTCGCGGCGCTGCATTCCCTTTAATTTCTTCTCAGATACCAGGCGGATCTGGAAAGCTATCAGAATAGCCACTCTGTAAAGGAGCTGGATGAGAAGGTATATCAGCAGCTTACCACGTCCGGAGACTCGGCGATTGAGTCCATGGTGCCACACCTCGGTGTCGTTGTTTGATGCGTATGACATTTCTGACATAAGCACGAATAGAAGCAGCACCAGCTTGGCGTAGTCGTCCTTCCTGACGAAGACATCGATCGTTACCAACTGCGTGAATGCATGGCGACACAGCTTAAACGTGACTTCGATATACCAAGACTTCGCATTAGCAAGAAACTCTCGCTGCTGTTTGGTGGCGAACATCAAGTGCCTCTGACTCCGGACTCTAATATCTGCACACTTAAATTCAAAATGACTATGGAACGAAGTGACCGGATGCCTTTTCCCTACAACTCAAACTCCATTTTTATTGCGTCTTTTTTTTTTTCAAATACGTTTAGCGTCTGTGGCAATGTAAGTGGTTTGGTAGTTACGATGCAAAAGAGCAAAAGCGCATTCCTCACAGAATGGTGTACCTTGCTTACTTCATGACAACGTATCACCTCAATTTCTGAGGCTGAAATATAAGGAATACTCATCAGCCTTGTAACTTACCAATCGTGAAAATCTCATAGAGGAGAACTCCGTAGCTCCACCTGTAAAACAAACGGAACGCATCAAAGGAAATAAACGTTCTTGTCTTCACTGTTGAAAAAAGGTACATTTAAAAATCTTCGGTAAAACTTCGTGGAAAGGACACTGGAATCGTCACAGTCGGAACCCGGGCCAATACTCAGAACTCAAAGCCAGAACTGCTATTATCAACCTTTCTTAACGAGATGAATCTACATAAATTAAACAACACCGAAAAAATCATCAATGCCTAAAAATATAGAAGACATCCAATAACGTTTCCCACAATTTTATTAGGGACCTCGAGTGGTCCTCGTACTCACACATCACTTTTTGTAGAATATTTGCCGTACAGCAGCGCCTCAATGGCAGTCCATTTTACAGGGAGACGTCCCTAAATTAAAACACATAGAATTGGTTGGAAAAACTGAAGAAAAGATCAAAAACAAATACGACTTCTCCAATAGTAGACAGCACAAGTGAACTTATTGTAACGGTGGGTCAGTGTATTGGGAACGAAGCCAAGAGAGCCATGACTTTTTGAATATTAAGACTACAGATCATCATACATAATCGTCTGCTTATAATTGCTTGGTACCTTAGACTTCCGTTGATAAATGTTGTCTTCTAGGACATCTCTTGCCATACCAAAGTCTGTTACTTTCCACGTTTCCCCCTCTCCAACCAACACATTTCGAGCTGCAAGGTCTCGATGGATAATCTACAACAAATCATAGGAAATGATTGATGTTGGAACGAGTTTGGAGGAAAGAGGAGAATTGAAAGGAAAAAAAAAATAAAGAAAAAAAAAAGAAAAGGTTAGCCTAGGTCCAATTTAAGGACCATACGGAAATCTTTTAGTTTTCCAACTAAATATAAAGGGCCCCATATATACGTGGGATCTAACATAAACCACGGTTTTACTTAGGTAGTGGGCCAAATAATTTCTCTATAAGGGGGTTGATCTCGGCTTTCTTGACACTGTTCACAAAATAAATCTTTAGGTATAAGAATCAGCTAAACTGAAGATTGTTTAGAACGCGGGTTGGACAAACAGCTTAGCTTTATTTCAATAACCAGCTCATAGTGCCTACTTACTGGTATCGATGACAAATACGACATTCCATCGCCAACTTGCCAAGCAAACTTCATTAGCTGCCGTGGCGTCAGATTTGTTTGTGGTTTTATATCCAGGTCCTTGTAGTAAGTGTCATTTAATCCACGGCTCCTTCTCAGGTATCCCAGCAGATCTCCATACGGAACATATTCAATCAATACCATTAATGACCCTATTGCAAGATAGAGGTATCTTCACTCATTCAGAGAAACCAATGTATATATTTCATGACGAGAAGAAACAACGCTTAGCATTACGTAAACCCACAGCCATATCTAGTAACTGGAGGTCAGTAACTGAAGATTACACAATTGAACTAAGAGCCGAATGGAAAGGTTCATCTGAAAATTCACCCCAATTCTGCGTTTCCAAAGCAAAAAGCTTGGACTGTTAAAGGGAAATCTCTGAAGATCTGGATATATGCTCGAAGAGAATGACATTGGCTACTTAAGTATCTGTTTCAATATCTACCGGAGTTCGTAACACATCCCAGCAGTTTAATGACATGAGGGTGAGGGTCCAGTTGCTTCATCAAATCAAGTTCGGACAGTAAGTCCTTCTTCTCTAATGCAGAAGCGTCAGCTGCAAGATGATCACCCAAAAGCTGTTACCTTTACAAGCAATGACAGTAACTAAAACAAAGTAAGTAGCATAAGACCTATCTAATACTGAGCTCTGTGTAACTCAGGGGTTAAGCATCCTGTTTTGGAATAATCAGGTCAGAAGTAAGATTAAAATATCTTATAAAATATGCTTTGACAAATAAAACTTCTGTGGAGCTTGTGAAAAGCAGAGCAAAACGGACTAAGATGGGCAAACACTTTGAGTGCAGCTAAAACGCTTTGTTTATACTCTACGGTACACAAAGACAATGACAAAATCCCTAATGCCACTGCCATCCCAATAAGGCTATAGTCGAATATCTTTCAATGATATTGAATTTAATTACCACAAGTTTTCAACAACAAATACAGTTAGCGGTATTTATTACTAACATCAATATATATATATATATATTGAGCACTCTATCTAGGATGAGTCATTGCCGTTGCAATTGTGCATGCTCGCTGGTTTACTCTAGTTTGAGCACTAGGGCATGGCTTAGACGATACCACAAAGGTTGGGTCGTTTGGGGTGACCGTCTCGGTTCTCCCCCATCCTAGCATTAGCACTGCACTGATGAGGCCCAGAAGGCCGAAACAGTACTGTCTGCAGTTAGTTATATATATATATATATATATATATAGGAAGTCTGCAAGTCGATTTTCGCGTGGAACAGTGCTCAATACGTTGAAGCAGAGCAGAATAAATATTATGAGAGGAAAAAAGGACGTAACTACATTTCCCGACAAGCCTGTTTCGTGAATCGCTTCACTCTTCAGGGGTTTAATGAAAGAATATTCATGTGACTATCGTTTATATACTAGGAAAATTTGCATAATGCGCGGTAAACTTAAAAACTTTAAAGTTCAGTTGTTGCGTAGCAACGCTTTGTTTCTGTGTCGGCATGAAGATACGAGTTCGTTACGCTTATTTAGTGATGAGAGGTCGGGTCGGTAAATTATCAGGAATTTTTCTTTTAGGCAGAGGTTGCATCTTTTATTGGAGCTGTTGTAGGGAGAGTTAGATGATAAGATGCGCCATGAGATAGAATAGTCAATGTTGTCGTTCTTGAGTGTCCAGATGTGTTTGCTAAGTTCGGTAGAGTTTTTGTGCTTGGCGTGGCGGAATGATGCGGTGTGATTTCTGTGTCTTGTTTTGAAGTCGGTTTCTGTGAGTCCGATGTATGTTTCAGAGGTGTTGTTGTCGTT